CGCCCGTACCGGACCGGGACTGGCAACAGGATCGCAAACCTCGGTGCTGCGCCCGCACCTCGCTCAGCCAGTGAGCAGGAACCGGTCTGCATGTGGGATCTGAACCCTCGGCGGGAGCGCCGCCGCACTCCCAAGCGGCGCACTGTAGCAGTGCGCCACCAGGCCGGCCCTACTAGACTCTTTATGAGAATAGAAGACCACTAAAATTTCACTGCACAAAACAAAAGCTTTTACAAGAAATGAATTATCAATTGGTGGTCCGTGTACCAGAAATTGGTAATAGAATACAAGTCAATTTGAGGAGTCAAAAGAACATATTTCAAAGATAGTGAGAACAGCTTTGGCTGCAGAACCAAATATTTTGGAACAGAAGTGGGTGTCTAGGGTGGAGAAGTGATGTTTTCTTTATTGTAATGGTTTATGAGAAGCAGAGGAAATCAGGTTAAATGAAAAACCTGGAGGAAGCGATCTTTATCTAGAGTGGAGGAAAGGATATTTTATTCTTTGAAAAACGTCCACATTCCTATAGCTACTTTCTAAGGGAGGAGTGTAAAGCATATCAACATAAATGCAAAATCCTTATCCTCAGCCATGTTCCTGCATGTGATTAAAAATTGGCTCACTTCTGTACCTGAAAGTGGCTGACAAAAGAAAACCTAGGCATCTTCATAGTGAAATAATGAGAAAACAGCAGCAGGAGACACCCATTGTGGTAAAAATGAAACAGAAAATGATGTAAAGAAATGAAAGGTGCTTAGTTGAAAACTACAAGTAGGCCGAAAATAAAAATTCTTAACATAAGTTTACTAATAAAATGTAAAAATGAACACAGAAGGAAAGACAAATATAACATTAGAAAATATATTAGTATAATATTATGTTGCGAGTAAGAAAAAATTCCATAAACTCATAAAACCAACATCCATTATTGATTTTTTTATAAAATCTTTTGTTGCTAGGATTGGAAGGCACTTCTGTACCTTTACTTGAGCAAAGAGATGTACTTATGTGTGGTTCACTATTAGTTATTTTTTTCTCATTTCAGATGTCCAGATAGATGATGACCTCATGGAGAGGAACCTAGAAACTCATGGTAGATGGTGGCAGCAAATTGTAATCACCAACAGCAACACATCAGTTGAGGAGAGAGTTGTGTTAGGAAAATGTTTTTATTTGAATTCACATCATGTTTTAAATCTCATTATAAATAATGGGGACTATTGTGGAAAGGGACATGAAGAGTTTTACATATGTCAGAATGCACTTCTTCCTAGAGATCCAGAGATGCCTGCTGCAGAGAAACCTGATGACCATCATATAACTGGAGAATTTCCCAGACATCATGAGCATCTTTGTCAGTATCCCAATATTCAAACAGGGAAGCAGCCTTTAGAGTACAGTAGAAAAGGGAAATCCTCCAACACAGAGGCAATAGTATTTACACATAAAAAGGTTCATATGGATGAGACCACTTATAAGTACAATGAATATGGGAAAGGCTGTGGTAAGACAGCTGTCATTGCCGAAAAAATAAATCACGTAGCAAGGAAAACTGTTCAACATACTATATGTGGGAAAATGTTCTATAAAACGCCCGAACTCACTAAACATCAGTTTATGCACACAGGAGAGAAACACCATAAATATGCTGAATGTAAGAAATCTTTTATTAAGAAATTATACCTTACCTCACATCAGGGAACACCTACACAAGAAAAGCTTTATGGTTGTAATGAACATGAGATTTTTTGTCAGAAGTCAGATCTTACAATTAATCAGAGAACTCACACAGGAGAAATGTACTATGGAAGTATTAACTGTGGAAAGAGCTTCTGTGAGAAGTCACTCCTCAGCCATCCTGAGAGAATTCATGCAGGTGAAATACCAGATAGATGTAATGAATGTACAAAATTTTTCTACCATGAGTCTGCCCTCACTCTATATCAGACAATTCACACACATGAGAAACCATATGAATGTAGAGAATATGGAGAATCTTTTAACCATAAGTCACACATCACGCATCAGAGACCTCACACAGGTGAGAAACCATATGAACATCAAGAATGTGGAAAAGCTTTTAGAGAAATGTCAGACCTCTGCAGGCATGAGGGAACTCACACAGGTGAGAAACCATATGAATGCAAAGAATGTGGAAAAGTTTTTAACCACATGGGAGAGTTCAGCAGGCATGAGAGAACACATACAGGTGAGAAGCCATATGAATGCAAAGAATGTGGAAAAGCTTTTAGGCAAAAGTCATGCCTCAGCATTCATCAGAGAACTCACACAGGTGAGAAACCATATGAATGTAAAGACTGTGGAAAAGCTTTTAGCCAAAAGTCAAACCTCAGCATTCATCAGAGAACTCAGGGGGGGGGGGAACCATATGAATGCAAAGAATGTGGAAAAGCTTTTAGGCAAAAGTCATGCCTCAGCATTCATCAGAGAACTCACACAGGTGAGAAACCATATGAATGTAAAGACTGTGGAAAAGCTTTTAGCCAAAAGTCAAACCTCAGCATTCATCAGAGAACTCACACAGGCGAGAAACCATATGAATGCAAAGAATGTGGAAAAGCTTTTAGCCGCAAGTCATACTTTCACATTCATCAGAGAACTCACACAGGTGAGAAGCCATATAAATGTAAAGACTGTGGAAAAGCTTTTAGCCAAAAGCCAAACTTCAGCATTCATCAGAGAATTCACATGGGTGAGAAACCATATGAATGCAAACAATGTGGAAAAGCTTTTTACCACACAGAGGACTTCAGCAGGCATGAGAGAACACATACGGGTGAGAAACCATATGAATGTAAAGAATGTGGAAAAGCTTTCAGCCGAAAGTCACACTTCAGCATTCACCAGAGAACTCACACAGGTAAAAAAATATATGAATGTAAAGACTGTGGAAAAGCTTTTAGCCACAAAGGAGACCTCAGCAGGCATGAAAGAACACATACAGGTGAGAAACCATATGAATGCAAAGAATGTGGAAAAGCTTTTAGTCAAAAGTCACACTTCAACATTCACCAGAGAACTCACACAGGTGACAAACCATATGAGTGTAAAGACTGTGGAAAAGCTTTTAGCCAAAAGTCATACTTGAGCATTCATCAGAGAGGTCACACAGGTGAGAAACCATATGAATGTAAAGACTGTGGAAAAGCTTTTAACCACAATGGAGACCTCAGCAGGCATGAGAGAACTCATACAGGTGAAAAACCATATGAATGCAAAGAATGTGGAAAAGCTTTTAGCCAAAAGTCATATTTCAGCATACATCAGAGAAGTCACACAAGTGAGAAACAATATGAATGTAAAGACTGTGGAAAAGCTTTTAGGCAAAAGTCATACCTGAGCATTCATCAGAGAATTCACACAGGTGAGAAACCATATGAGTGTGAAGACTGTGGGAAAGCTTTTAACTACAAGGGAGACCTCAGGAGGCATGAGAGAACACATACAAGTGAGAAACCATATGAATGTAAAGAATGTGGAAAAGCTTTTAGGGAAAAGTCATACCTCAGCAGTCATCAGAAAAGTCACACAGGTGAGAAACCATATGCATGCAAAGAATGTGGAAAAGCTTTTAACCGAAAGTCAAACCTCACCAGTCATCAGAAAAGTCACACAGGTGAGAAAGTATACGAATGTAAAGACTGTGGCAAAGGTTTTAGCCAGAAAGTAGACCTCAGCATTCATCAGAGAAATCACACAGGTGAGAGACCATATGAATGTAGAGAATGTGGAAAAAGTTTTAACCGAAACTCAAACCTCAGCAGGCATCAGAAAAGTCACACAGGTGAGAAACTGTATGAACATAAAGAATGTGGAAAAGCTTTTAGCGAAAAGGCAGAACTCAGCAGGCATGAGAGAACTCATACAGGTGAGAAACTGTATGAAGGCAAAGAATGTGGAAAAGCTTTTAACCACATGGGAGACCTCTGCAAGCATGAGATAACTCATACAGTTGAGAAACCTTATGAATGTAAAGAATGTGGAAGAGCTTTTTGGCAAAGGTCATACTTCAACATTCATCAGAGAGCTCACACAGTTGAGAAACCATATTAATGTGAAGGATGTGGAAAAGGTTAAAGGTAGACCTCAGAAGGCATGAGAGAACTCACACAGGTGAGAAACCATATGAATGCAAAAGATGTGGAAAAGCTTTTAACCAAAAGTCATACCTCAGCAGCCATCAAAGAATTCACATAAGTGAGGAACCATGTGAATGTGAGGAATGTGGTAAAACAGTTTACTGGAACTCACTATAATAGACATGAACAAATTCAAACATGAGAAAATCCCAATTAACATAATGACTGGGTGAAGGTTTTGCCATAAATCACATCACCTTTCATCAGAGAACTCACATCAAGAAGAGGCCCTGTAAGTGTACAGCTGCCCCTTGGTATTGGAGGTTGGCTCCAGGAGCCCTTGTTGATGAAAACTTGCAAATGATCAAGCCCCCCTCCCCTTTTTTTTGTCCTTTTTTGAGACTGGTCGCACCACACTCAGCCAGTGAGCACTGTGAGCGCACTGGTCACCCCTATATAGGATCCAAACCCGCGGTGGGAGCACTGCTGCGTTCCCAGCACTGCACTCTCCCGAGTGCGCCACGGGCTCGGCCCTGAAGCCCTTTTTATAAATGGTGTACTGTTTCAATATTACCTATGAAATTTTTTCCATGTCCTTTACATCTTGAGTAAAATATTTGTATTACTGAATACAGAAGGAACTCCTTGTAAATCATTGTTATACTGTATTGTTTTTTACTTGTATTATAGTTATATTTTTTTGTTTGTTTTTATAAGTAGTAGAATCAGCAGATGTGCAACCCTCAGATGTAGAAGAGGGTCAATAATTGTGAAAACATCTTTTTTCAGCAGTTACAGGGCTGGCTATGGTTAACATATTGTTTAGAGCATGTTGCTGATAACACCTGTACTGGCCAGCCACTGGGGAAAAAAAAGAAAAGTAAAAAGAATTCAAACTGTAGCAGGCATGAGATAATTTACATGGGGAAATTCTGCATGGATTAAACTCGGTATGTATTTTCTAAAAACACCTTTTTTTTTCTCTTGTACACATACCTGCAATCTCAGCCTTTAATTATTCTATGTTGAACCGTGTAATTTAGCTCTGTTCAGGGGAGTATGGATATAGGTGATAAATATTACTTCCAGGCCAAGCAATAAAAAAAATGTTCATGAATTTGTCCCTGATTTCTCATTCTGTGGGACTGAAGGAAAGATGACTCCTAGGATTGAGTCAGGGGCCATAGGTGGGAGAAATTCACCATAATTGAAGACAGACTGAGTTGAAACCATAGTTTTTTCCAGCTCTATCCCCAAATCCTCTATATGTAAGAAATGCTTACTATGGTTTGCCATTTCATGTGTGATCTCTTTGTGTTACAACACAAGTAGCCCATGGTGCTAACTGATTTTATGAACTTCTAAGAGACGTTACCAGTTCTTGAATATGAGAATGTTCACACAGAAGAGAAACCTATATTGTCACCTTTTACACCCAAGTCTGCTTACGGGAAAATTCAATTACAGGGAGAAACAGTGCAATAAATATGGAACATCTTACCAGACAGGGACTTCTCATTGAACAGTGACAATAAGTTTATCTTCACCAATATCTAATGTGTCAAATCTTTCAACATAACTTTCATTTTTATATATCAGATAATTTAAAATGAAAACTTTATGTAATGTGAATACAAATTTTCAAATAGTATTGATAAGTGTAGAATCAAAACTATTTTCAAAGTTTTGACTATCTAACAACAGTTAGATGTGAGTTGTGATATTTCCTGCCAGGGGACATTTGGCTATGTCTGAAGACATTTTTGTTGTCATAACTGGAAGTTAAAAGGTCTAGTGGAAAGAAGCCAGAGATGCTGAGGTCTAGTGGAAAGAAGGCCAGAGATGCTGCTACACTGCACAAAACACAGCCCCAAGTATGCTGCACTTATGCTTATAAGTTTGTTTAAAATTTTTCTTGATGAAAGAAGCCAGCACAACTACATTGTGACTTACATCAGAATTTATTAGCCTATTCATTGTTACAAATCATACTTATTCTTTATGCCCCTTAGCCAATCTCTAACCTTCCTCTTCCCCTCTCCCTTCTAATCACCATAGATTTTTTCTCTCCATATGATCAACTGGTCCTCTGTTGGTTTGTTGCCTAAGTGATGTGACCAGTAGTGAGACAGATGTGATCGAGTCCTCTCCCATTATCATAAGTCAGATGCTTCTTTTACTCTGAAGTGTGCTTTGTGGAGAGAGAGACAGAGAGAGTGTGTGTGTGTGTGTGTCTGACCACTGGTTCCTCTCCTTGGGTCAACGCAGTTTAGAATCTGGCATACCATCTGCAGAGTGGCCAAGACTTGCTGTAGAGCCTAGCTTTTGCAGTAACCATGGCAATTGTGGCTGTGTTGGCTACCTGCATGAAAATGGTGTTTTTGGCGTGGTTGTGGCTGGGTTCAGCCTCCCCTGACTCCATGCCTTAGTACCCAGGTGTGGTCCAAGTTGGTGCAGGTGGTTTTCCTAGTTCCAGCTGGGTTCATCTTTCCCCAGCTCCAAGCCTCCAGACCCTGGCAGAGCCCAGGCAGTGGCAGCTGCTTGCCTAGTTATGGCTGTGTTCAGCTTCCCCTGGCTCCATGCCTCATTCTAAGATGTGAAACAGTTGGCAAGGAAAAGGGGAGGGGAAGTAAGGTGGGAAGAGGAGGAATGAGGTGCAACATGATTGAAGCCCATGGCCTCCCTCATTCCTTCAGGGGAGGCTAGTGGGCTTCTAGGAGTGGCTGGGTTGTCACTGGGCTGGTTGCAGATGTTAGGGGGTGTGACACAAGCCCTCAGCCCCCAAATGCCCCAGCTCAGGAACCTGGGGTGCTTCCTACAGCACCTCACTGGTTGTCACTGGGCTGGTTTTGATGTCTACAGAACATGGCTGAGGCCCTTGTCTCCCTATTGCTCCAGCTTGGGAGACCAGGGCACTTTCTGTGGTGGCATGATGGTCATCACCGGGCTGGTTGCAGGTGTTAGTTGGTGTGGCCAAGGCCCTTGGCCCTCCATCATCCCAGCTTGGGATCCCAGGACACTACCAGCAGTTCCTTGGTTGTCATCACTGGGCTCATTATGGATTCGGAGGGAGCAGGGCTGAAGCCCTTGCCTTCTCCACAGCCCTAGCTTGGGAGCCCAGGGTGCTTCCTGCAGCAGCTTGGTGGTTATCACTGGGCTCATTGTGGATGTTTGGGTGGTGGTGGCTGAGACCCTTGGTCCCCCACAGCCCCATATCAGGATCCTAGGGTGCTTCCTGCAGTGGCTTGGTTGGATGCAGATGTTGGGGGTGTGTGGCTGAGGCCCTTGGCCCCTCAGTGCCCTGGCTCAGGGGCCCAGGATGCTTCCTGTGGAGCCTCAGTGGTCAACTCTGAGCTGGTTGTGGATGTTGGGTGGGCATGGCTGAGGTCTTTAGCCCTCCCACCTCCCTGGCTTGGGAGCCCAGGGGCCTCCAGTCCTAGATTTTATAGGTGTTCTTTGGTGGTGTTAGACCCTTACTAGTTAAGATCAAACTTTGATCTGTGGATATTTTGTTTTTTCTTTCACTTCTGTGTTGGATTATTTGCTGTTCCCATCACTTAAACTCTGCAGGGAAATTAATTTTTTGCCTTTGCTTCTAAAATGGAGGAAGTTTCTGTGAGGACAACCACTTGAGCCCTGTGGCTTAGCTAAATTGCTGCTTTGCTACTGATTCCCTGGGGAAGGCTTTCCATACAGATCATGTTTTAATGGTTGACCTTGTATGTACTTCTTGGTCTCGTGAGGTCTGGTACACCTGGGTTGTGTGGAAACTGGTCTGGGCCTGAGTCTTTTCAGCAAACTGCAACCCCAGCAATTCTATATATTCCTTACCTGTCTACACTGAGTGATCCTGTGCTGATTGGAGAGCAGATCTGTCTGTTCTGTGCAGCAATGTTTCCCTGGTGGGCCCATCTGCCCAGCTGCCCACACTCCAAACACTTCCCATAGGACAGGCCATGCACCAGTCCCTTGTCATGACTCACCGGCCTCTGAGTGGTTACTTTATTCTGTTGTCCATGGCCCCTCACTCCTATATGGGTCCACGGAAAACCTGTCTGGTCTTGCTGGCCTGGGGGCCACTAAGTCCCTCTTCTCCCCTGCCACTTTCAAGCAACTTCATACAAAGGGCACAGCTGTGGTTTTCACATCTCTTGCTCCGTGTGTTCACCTGCTCCAGCCTTAACGTGGCTGGAGTTCAGAATGGTAGGAGTGATCCTTTCTTTCTGTCGTCATGGCTTCTCCTGTCTTCATGAATTCCATAGGTCTCTCCTCTTCGCCTGAGCTCTAGCAGCCCCAGCTTGGCTGTCATTGCTTTTTAGTGGTTGTAAATTGGTTGAATTGCCCAACAGAGTGAGGCTGGGGACCATCTATTTTGCCATCTTGACTGGAAGACTTACCTCAGAATTTTTTACATTAAATGCCACTTCTTTATATTTTGTTAAATTTATTGTCTAAAGTACTGTGCTTCTTACTTTATTCCTACTCTCCTGTTGTAGGTAAATTTGCATGGCCATTATTACAAAACTCTTAAGTAAGTGTAATTTTTTTCTAATGTTTGAAGCTAACACAGCCATTGAGTAGGCGAAATAGAAATACTTCCATGAGAATACACAGATCAGGCACATAACTGTTTAGAGATTAAATCTGCAATCATTTAAACTGCTATAAACAGTAGTATTTATTGTATTCTATTTAGTGAGAGATAGTGTCCAGAAGGGAGATTATCATTTATTCCTATTCCTCATATTTTTAAATGGGCCATATAATAGATATGATTGTGTGTACCACGTGCTCTGTACTTCAGGAATATCTTGTGTTTACATCTGCAGTGATGGAGTGCTATGTTTGTATCTTGCCACTAGAGGGGCAACAGAATAAATCCCAGTTGCACTTGTGTATTGCCTTGTGCATGGTTCTTTTTACACATAGGTCTGCAGACCTAGCAATAGCCCCAGAGCCTGTTTTCACTTAAGGAGCCTCCTGG